ACCAGTCAAGAGGGTCTTGAGTGCTATCACCTGAAAAAGGTTCTACTTTGATCAAATTCTTTTCACCTGCTTCTTCTCTTTCCATCGTTTCAATAAGGTGGGTTATAGCATTGGCAGCATCGTTTATGGCTTCTTTGTCATCAATTGGTTCTTTGTTATTATCAAGTTCTTGGTTAGGTTCCTCTTCTAGTTCAATGTTTTCTTCCTCACATACTATGTTTTCTCCTTGTTCGGGGTTTTCTTCTTCATGTATTAAATTTTCTTCTTGATTGGAGTTTTCTTCTTGGTTGTAGATAGTAGTAGTTTCTGAAGCTTCATTCTCTAATCCATGGTTAGGTGTTAGGAATCATTGAAGTTGATTTAAGAGGTCTTTAGCACCTTGATCAAAATCTCTAGCTTGTTGATTTAATACACATGCAGTTGGGGATCCAAAGGGTGTATGAGATGTGCTAGTAAAGGAGATTTCTTGAATACGATTTGGATGAATTCTATGAATAAAAGGTGGTTGGTATTGGTACTGTCTTTGGTTGGTAGTGTGATGTGAATAGTTAACACGGGATTCCTTCTGTATGAAGACTGATAAAGCTGAAAAGGTGAATTATTATATATCCTATTATTGCCACTATAAGGTTCTAAAGTGTTTGCAATTTGTTGAGTAGAATTTACAGCAGATGGTCTAGCAAGAGTAATATTAGGGTCAGTATAGGTAATAATAGCAATTTCTTGTTAAGGAGTTTGATATATAGCTTGGCCTAAAGTTAGAAGAAAATTTTGATGTACAATAGGTCCAGTAATTATCCTTCTGTAATCAGGAAAATCAATATAATTATTATAGTGATTTCTATTAGCGAATAGGATTTCAGGTATATTACTGAAATTAGTGTATCTTCGGAATAATGCAAGAACAATAGCTCTGATGTCACCAATATCTTGAGTATAACAGCAACTAAAAATAATATTTCTAGCAGCAACTTGGGCTTCAACTGGATTATATGTAGTTTCTAATATAAAGAAATTTGTTTGGATATTGTGAGTTTGGGATTCAGCATAATAAGTATCAGAATACCAAGTCCAGAAAATTCCTTGTAGAGCACAGGGACTTATTCGATGAGGTGGAGAGCAGATATAACAAGACAAATCAGGTGTGTTATATTGGAGTATGTCAACAGCAAGAGCAGAAAAATTTGTATATTAGGGTAATTAATAATATTCTGGTTATGAAATCTAGTTACAGGATCTCCTATAAAAGAAAATAAACTTCGAGCAGTTTAGTAGTAATGCAATTTTGCAAAAAGAAATTATCTTTCAGAGATAATTATTAACAAGATAGATAGATAATAAAATGATAAATAATATAATAGTAAAAAGAATAATATGCATATGAAGAAATTAAAACGATTATAACAAGTAATGACATCAAGATAACAATTTCAAATACAATTTAATTTAGCATGCAATAATAATTTAATTTAATCTGCTGGCTACTTGCAAGAGATAAAGTATAAACTCTCCAAGTTTTACAATAAAGTTAATAATTTTATACCTTTAATAATTTAGCTTCAATATTACTTTTTTAATAGCCAATCCTGCAATAATTTCAAAGAAGAGTTGGAATCTAAGAGAGACAATCCAAGGGAAGATCTAATAAAATCTGCTATGATTTTATACTTGTTGGCTAGAAACTCAATCAAAGTAAGGATGGTTTATATTTAAGATGGGTTGGGGTAAGGTTTGGATTTTCGGTTAAATGTTTCAGCTTTTCTACCAGGAGGCACCAAAATGTTACAATACTATAGCCTTCTTGGTATTGTTATAGCAAAGTAACAAGGTTATCTGGTACAGTGATATACTTTATGAATATACATGGGGTGGGTGTAAAATGTATACTTTTACTTCACAGCAGGAGGCAAACGGTTCAAGATAATAACAGTTTATAGATATGATAATATTTATTAATAACAAGTTCACGGTAATATTCTTTTCAATAGGAATAACCTAAAGAGAAAATATTACACTATACAAATGTAAGAAGGGTAATAAGGATAGTTAGGTAAAGCTAGATTCTATGAGAGGGTAGGGAACTCTAACTTGAGCAAAAGGGGCAAAAGGCTCACTTTTTATAACTTTTTCACATATAAGAGGTGTAACAGTATAACTGCCAAACTGCATAGAGGTACTAAGAGGTACTCGTGCAAAGATACTGAGAGGTACTATATAGAGATACTGAGAGGTACTGTGTGAAGGTACTGAGAGGTACTGTGTGAAGGTACTGACAGGTACTTGTGTGAAGATACTGACAGGTACTTGTGTGAAGGTACTGACAGATACTTGTATAAAGGTACTAAGAGGTACTTATGTGCAGGTACTGAGAGGTACTTGTGTATCTAGCTATTATATTACTGTGCCTCATTTAACTAGCCAATAAAGTCTCTATAACTACTATAATAAATATCAATATATAATAACTAATATTAATAAATACTAAATAAATATAACTAATATATAATAATACAATTTATAAGATATGGGGGCTTTGCAGTAGAAAGGGCAGATACGACCCCAAAATGAAAAAATGAGTTTCATTAAATTCTGGTAAATTTCAATGTGAACAACATTTTTCAATTATAAATGAAAGTCAATTTGCATAATAAAAAATCAAGATAAGTAATGTAAAAGAAAGTTGCGCGAAGTTGAAACCAAGCGCATCACAAGATTACCCGTTAGTCACATGTTATATTTAGCCAATCAAAATTGTGAATTTTGATTAATCCGGATCAGTCCGAAAATCAAAACAAGTGATTAAACTCAATTATCTCAAAATTATGTATATTGACGTATCCGCCCTTTCTACTGCAAAGGCCCATATAATCTATATTACACTAAGCTATCATTATATTGTGTTACAACCTACTTTGTAACAATAGTTAGAAAAATTCTTTTTTAAAATGATTTATTTTTAGTTTTACTATTTTGTATTTACTAAAAATAATAGAAATACACAAATCTATTTAAAATGATTTAAACTAATTTAATTTTTTAAAACATGTATTTACTAACTAAATAATTATTAAATTTTCAAAATATAGTTTTTTTTTAATTTGGCAGTTTTGCTAATACTGTTTATTAGATTTACACTAAGGTATTTTGGTTACAAATATCACAACTATCTAATATATGTTACATATATTAGCCCACCTGGTTACTAATTTAAGTGCTTATGTATGACTTGCTATATGAGATTTTGCCTTCTTATTAACTATTCTACAATTAGACTGGTTACTAAATCACCAGATGGTTTCCAAACCTATTAAATCATATATATCTTGCTTATATACTACTGTACAATGTCTACTAACTAACTTCTACCTCTTATCAATTATCACATTACTCCTAATTTAGGTGTCTTTGAGTAGGAATGTTAATGGAGTGCTTTGGGGTAGTGTGGTGTATACTTTGCAAAGTATCCTTTAACACTACACTGGAGTATATAGTCTTATGAAGCAAACTCTGTAGTATTACTTTGAAGTATTAAGTAGAATATAACTCAGAGTATTAAGTCAGAGTATACTTTGGAGTATAACCCAGAGTATAAACCAGAAGTATAACACAGAGTATTATGACTAACAATGAGTAATTCATACTCATTTTATAACTATGATCAATATGCATTTCAGATTCTGAGTTTTATGCTTGAATCATGTTTTTTACTCTTCACAACGTATGTATGTACCATACAGCACTAACTTAAGTACCTGGGATCTTTTACAATCATGCAGATTTGATAAGTACTTTACATAGAGGATACTTTGGTTCGCACCCTTTGTACCTGCATAAAAATTTTACATTATACCATCCAATTAAAATATATAACAATCATAACTAATGAATATTAGAAAAAAATTTTTTTGTTCTATCACTTGGTTATTTTGAAGTAACAGTACATAATTAACAAATATTGATAATCAATATTTAATTAATTTTTTTAAGCTACCAAATTATGGATAAAATGCTTTTTGTTCTGTTATTCTGTTATTCTGTTATAAGTAATAGTACACAAAATAACAATTTAGGCCAAGACAAATATTTCAAATTATCAAAATAAATATTTGTGCACTTTTTTTATTTTTGTCCTTTTTTTTAAATCACTTAATTATAATAATAAATGCTTTTTTGTTCTTAATAACAGTGTACAAAGAACAAGTTAGGCTAAAGACAAATACTTTAGATCATAAAATAATTATACATTGTATTAAACCATCTAATAAACATTCTTTTATTTTATTATTTCATAATTGTAACAGTGTGCATAGCAACAAATATTTTAATAAAAGAGATTTTTTAATAACAATTGAATAAATTTTTAATATTCACAAGTATTTAATATAAAAATATTTAAAAGGTTGCTTCTTTGATAATTCATTTTGTAAATAAAAAATGGTTCATGCAAAATCAACCAGTATGATATTCATATTTTACACATCATATTTGTTGTTAATTGTCTGCAAAGGAAAAGCTTATAGTTATTTATTACCTTGAACAATCTAAAAGTGTATGTGATATAGTAAGAAAGTTTAATATTCAATCTAAACAAGTTTGTAACTGGAGAAAAATTAAAGATTAACTAATGATAGCTGCTCTACATATTGAGAAATTACATCCTGGAAAAAATGCCAATTTCCCTAAGCTTGAAGAAGATTTGGCAGCTTGAATAAAAGAAACTCGAGCCCAACACAATGCAGTAACCCGTATAATGGTTATTCAAAAGGCAAAAAGTTTTGCTCAACAACCAAAATTTCTAATTCTGTATTTAGATATAAGCCAGTTTGGTTTTTCTCGTAAATGGCTTAATGCATTTATGTTTTGTTATGATCTTTCAAACAGGCACAGAACTAATATTGCTTAATAGCTTCCCATGGATCTAATTGAAAAACAACAATGGTTCTTAAGTTATATTGCACTTAAACAATATAAAAATAATCACCTATTAAGATTAATTAGTAATGTCTGTTGCTTTTGACTTGCCAAATGCCATTACTCTAGATAAACATGGTGCTAAAACTGTTAGTATTAGAACTACTGGGCATAAAAAATCAAATTTTACAATGATCTTAGATTGTCTAGCAAATAGTACAAAATTGCTAGCAATGTGCATATTTAAGTTAAAAAATATGCCTATAAACAATTTTCTCAAGGTATTTATATCTGCATAAATAAGAAAGAATGGTGTAATAAACAAGAAATGATTTGGTGGACAAACAACGTATAGCTTGCTCAAAATATGTATAGATGTAAACATTCACTCTTAGTATTAGATTCTTTTAAAGGTCATATTACCAATTTGGCTAAAAAAAATTATAGTGAAAATATAAGTAAACTTCAACTATTAGATGTTATAATAAACTATTCTTTTAAAGCAAAACTTCGTAATTTGTATCTTGAATAAATGGCTAATAAAATACATGAATTTCCACCTACTGGAAGAATTAAATGACTATCTTACTCTTTGATGGCAACATGGGTAAAAAAAATGCATGAGATAATGTTGATATTAATTTAATTAAAAGCTTATTTAGCTGTTGTGGAATTTCTAGTGGTCAAGATTTTAATATAGATCAGCAATATGAAATAGAAAATAAAGATTATATTGAATTGGAAGATAATATTGAATTAATAGATCTTACTAACAAAGAAACTGTTTGGGTTGAAATGAAAGATATTGATAATATCTATAGCGAAGAACCTATGGTTGAAAATGATTGGGTATTAGTTTCATAAATTTTCATTGGAGGTTTTTTTTTATCTTATATAGTTCTATATTTTTCTTTAGAGTGTTGGAAAAGTTTTCAAAATGTTTTTTGTATGTAGAAGAAGTGAATTTTTTACAATTTGTAGTACATATGTATATATGTACATATGATAACAATGTTGTATTATTAACCAATTATAGAATTAAATAAATGGCTATATCCGGGTATTTTAGATAGATCTTTACTATAAATAGTAAGAGGTATTAGATATAGGGAAATACTTAAGTCAATGCTGTATAGTACATATATATGTTATCTGTGAGTTCACTTATACGAGATAAATTATTTAATAATGATAAAAATAATTTAAATTTATCTAATAATTAATTAAAATTCATTATGACTTATATAAAATTGATATATGGGGTAGAGTTAGTAAAAAAGAGACAAATCATTTTTTTTATTTTTTAAATTAAAATATCTCAAAAAAAAAATTTTATTATTTAATAAAATAATTGTTGAGATATTTAAGCTTAAAATCAGGAAACTTTTATTTAGAAAAAATTTGGCTCTTTTCTATTGACTCCACTCTATATACTAATTACCTCATGTGAGAGAAATATATTTTTTGAGTTATCAATATCAGCTATATAATTTGTAATATGAGTATATACCAAAATTTTTATCATATATATAGAGCAGAATTATCAGATTGTTATATCAAAGAATAAATAATCTTGAGTATTAGATTATTTCATGATATCTGATTAATTACCTGATGCATATTTAAATTGCTTATAATTATGCAATTATACCTAGTAGTATATATATATGAGGGGAGTCAATAGAAAAGAGACAAATCATTTTTAGTAAATTTTTTTTAATTTTTAAATTAAAATATCTCAACAACTAATTAATCAAATTTGCTAAAAATTTTTTTATTTTATATAGAATTAAAATAAAAAAAATTTAAGTCTAAAGTCAAGAAAACTTTTACTTAGAAAAAATTTGTCTTTTTTCTTTAAATGCTATTGTACTCAATAATAACTCTCAATAAATTAAACAATACGATTTATTCATTTAATTATATTTATAAAACAATAAGAACAGCTGATCTAAAAATTTAAGCCTGCTTATTACTATTATAAGATTGTAAAATAACTATACAATACAAAGATTTTTCACAATTTATTATAATCATAATAATCATTATAAACTTTTGTTATTTAGCTTTTTAAACACAACACAGCAAATACTAAATTTGGAGAAATATTACTTCTTGCAATTAAAATACACACTCACTTGGAACACTAGTTCCTTGTATAGACAAGTAGTTTTTTGCTATTTTACTAAGAGTCGGAAATTTTTTTTTAAATTTATACCACTATTTAAGCAGATTTCCTTTTAGAGCAAAAAGAAGAGCTAAATATTATTCTAATTTATTTTTTATTAGTGTTGCATTTTCTTGATATAATAGTGATTCAAAAAATAAGTGCTAGTTTTTTTTTTCTTTTTCTTGATGTTCTTTTTTTTGCCTAGTAGTAGATATATTTAAAAGTGCTTCTCCATAATTTAACATGTATTCACATAATTCATTTATAGCAGCTAATCATGCTTCACATATTACAAAGGTCATTAGCTTTAAGTGTGGATCAAGCAATGTTAATAATACAATTGATTCTTCAATAACATCCCAATACTCTTCTAGCTTGTATATTATCAATTGTGCTATATAACATTCATTCTCTTTATAATTTGAAAAATATTTGGTTCTGAGGTCCCCAAATCAAAATTGAGATTTTTGCTAAATTTTAATTTATGAAACACAAAGCTTATTTTGTGCAATATTTTAAAACTGGTTAACTTAATAATAAAACGAGTTATAGAAGTCTGGAAATTTGATAGAAAATTTTTTTGAATATCTAAAAATAGAATGGAAATGATTTACTATAATGGATACCATCAATTTTGCACAGGGCATTGTTACGCAGATCAATTTTTATCCAATAATAAAAAATTTTGTGAAGATTATATCTAAAATTAGCAAAAAATCAAGTTTTGATTGTTTGGGTTATACAAAAAAAAATTTATAGTGCCGTAGTGTCATTTTCAAGGCAAAGATCCCATTTATCAAGGTGGTACTAAAGCCCAATGAATATAAGATGAACATCACTAATAGCTAGATAAAAACTAGCAGATAACAATAATGTTGCTTGGTATATTAGTTCAAGAAGATTTAACATTGCATCTATTTGTTCTCATTCACTTTTATTAAACTATGAGTCTTCAAGTTGCTTTTTATTTTTTGCAACTAAATAGTCTAGTAGTTTTTTCATTTTATTAAACTTTTGCAATATTAAAAATATACTATTCTATCACAAGTTCTGGTTTTAGATACTCAACTTTTTGTATAGTACAAATATTTTATAGAGAATTATATAGCAATTGGAAGTGGGGTACTTTTTTAAACTTTTTCAATAATTATAGTTTCAAGCTGTATACAATATTTAATATATAGACAACGCATCTATAATGTGTATATTTATTATTTTCTAAAGATAAAATAACTACTTGCAGCTCACACCCTGCAACAATCATACTTGCATCATTGTCAGTAGTAAGTTCAAGAATACTTTGTGTGATTTTAAATTTATCAAATAGTGTTAAAAGCAAGTCTTTAGTATATGTTCCATAATAGTGATCTAAGTAATATATTAAATCAAGAAGAAAACTTCATGCTTTCTAATTATTATCAATGTAATATGCAGTTACTCCAAGATATGATTGATTGGATATAAAAGTTTATATACTACATGTAACAGAAATCTTTGAACTAATATCTTCAAATAAACTTATTATTTTTTTTACATGTATTTTCAAATTGACTAATTATTTCATTGCTTAATATTTGTCAGCAAAAAATGTAATAGCGTGGATCAAGAACACTAAGCATTTCTTTAAATATTTATTGTCTACAACAGAAAAAGGTAATTGGCAACATATAATAAAATTGGTCACCTTTTTATTAATTTCATCTGTTCTTTTTGTCTCTTTTGATATATATAGTATAGCTGCAAAATGTAGGAATATTTGCTATTTAAGAGATATCTTTTTTTGATGCTTATTGTTAAGATGAATTGCCAAGATCCCTGTTGTGTTGCCCGGTTTCCACTTCTGTTTGCAAATATTACAAACTATTACTCTTCAGAAAAAAATTCTCACACAATAGATATGCATTAATCAACTCTTTTTAACTAATTTTTAATATGATTATCAGAAGTATCACTATGATCTAAATTAATAATAAAATCTATACTATTATTATTGACAATATTTATATCTTTATTATTATTGCTAGCAAAATTTATCTTCTCACTATCATCAAAAGCAAAACTAATATCCTCATCGTTATCAACAATAAAGTCTGTATTTTTACTATCTTCACTAACAACAATACAATTATCTTCAAAGTTAATATCCTCATTGGTTTTGGTAGCAAAATTTATATCTTCCAATATCTAAATTATTATAGATTTTTTTAGATATAATTTCTATTGTTCGATCTTCTTAATTAAATATATTTCTATTGTTTGATCTTCTTAATTAAATATTTAATTTTTAAGAAATTTTTTTTAATTTTTAATTTTTTGTATTATATTATAGTTAAGCTTTTCTTCTATAACTATTAATTTGACACTTGTCTAATATAATTGTTTTTTTTTGTTTGTTTGTTTGTCATATTACCAATTCTTATTTATATAGTTTTTATAATTATCAATTAGATATTTGTTAAAAAAAAATAGAATTGGCATGATTTTTTTGTTAAAAAAAAAACTAATACCTATTCTTATTTGGAAAATATGCATCTAGTGTTGCAAAAAATAAGAAAAATTTAGAGAAGAAGTTTTGTATATAAAAAGAATAAAGTATGAGTTTACTATCACGAAAAGGATAATCTACAAGTTCTAGTTTTTTAAAAAACTCTAGTTTGTTTATATACAGTAAATGCATGTAACTTTATGCATATTTAAAAACTAATAATACAGTATATATAATACTACATACATATACATATTATAAAGCTCTTAAAAATAGCTTTGCTAATTTTTTTTTTTTTTAATTTTTCCAAACTGCCTAAGCAGTCAGAACACTGATAGCGTCTTTTATTAAGGTCTTATATATATTACAGTGAATTTAAGTTATATATTAAGTACTACGTACATCACCACCAACGGTGGTGTTCCCCAGCCCTTAATACCACGTGTTCGGTAACTCTACCTTAGTAGCCCGGGTCTCTGATCCCGCGGTGTAGGGCCCCTGTTCTGAGGCCTGCAGTTTGCCACCTTCAACACGGCCTCATCATTCACCTTTTCCTATTTTGTGACTTTTACACTTTTCTAATTCCATACTAGAACTTACAGATTCTGCATTCATCTCCTCCCTGCAAACTTATCTCTTTTTCGTCTCTGTGTTTTCAGTTTTCGGCTTGTCTAACCTACTCCCATGGCCGGTTTTGGGGCACAGGCCTACTCTCGTATACTTTTCGTATTCACTAGTACTTCCTTTTACAGTTGCACCACTTGAGCCTACTCGGGGTCCATTCGAAACGGAAGGGGCCCCTACAAGAACAAGCAGGTTCTTTCTTCTATTAGCTTCGTGCTACAAGCCTTGATTCCTATTCAGTTTTTAAGCCGTAGTCCTAATTCGGGGGTTCCTCATGTTAACGACTTTCTT